GATATAAAAAAAGCGAGAAAATATTCTCTCGTGCAATTTTTAATATTTCGGAAACTATTGAAAACATTTTTACAACACCAGAACAAAATTACGGTCTCTCGACGGTCGTTTCATTAATCAAGTTAGCTTCCTCGGGAGGTGATTACTTATGACTGAATTTTATTACTATGTTAGTGTAATAACAGGCAGTAGTTAGGTTCTACTAACAGGTAGTAGTTAGGGCAGTAACATATAAAAATACTGACACAGTAGTAGTAAAATTTAGTAATAATGATCTCCTGAGGACGCTAACTTCGTTAGCGAAACGTGCGTCGAGAGACCGTAATTTTACTCTGGTGTTGGGAAAATATTTTCAATAGATCCATTGTGCGCCAGAGGATCTGGTACAAAATATAAAATTTCGGAAACTGTCTTGTTTATATACATAAAATATTGTGTCTCTCGAGACGATTCGACCCCCACATTCGACTTGCTCATTTACCTACTCGTATTTTCTAGCCATTACCTAATCTAATGGTATTAAATCATCTCACGACCGACACACCGGTACCACATGAAAAGGCCTGGCGTGTGCCCCTTCCACCACCATGACTTCTTGTACGTCTGAATGGGGGCCCGGTGGACCTGTACCTCGAAACATGGAGCCACGATAAAGTAGTTACGACCTTTTCCTCTTAAGCGATACACTGACTTCACACCGAACGTCACTCTGTTTGTTTACGTTCCGATTCACGTGACTTTGTTTTACGCGGGCGATCGCAAGAATGCGTCTATTCTCGGTTTTTAAATGTCTGATGGTGATTCGGAGGTGATATCCGAAACCAATAGTGCGAAAATGAATTTGCGGAATAGAAAATCGTGGCAGATACTTTCTTGCGCCGCAGTGTTCGCTTATAGCACCCTTTTGGTATACCAGACGTTTTCAGGGGGTGCTCCCGCACAAGAGGTAAATTTATTGCAAGTGAAAGCTACAATTGTAGAAAATAATTGGTTTTTGAAATTTTTTGTGAAAGTCATTTCATTTTGTGAAAAGTTATTTTGGGGATACAAACGTGCAACAATTGTCTCATTTCTTTGTCAGTTTTCGTTCGATTAATGATATTTAACTCTGTCAGAAAGTTCTAAGTCGATTCATTTGGTGAGAAGGGAAGTTTTAAATACGAACATACAATAATTGTTTCATTCCTTAGTACAAAGTTAAAAATTTCCAACAAACAATAATAGAACTAGGGTTGATCTCTAGTTCTCTAGGCATACACTATTGGGAAAAATCTTATTACCTCTTATTTAACACTGCGGTGTCATATCACACCATCAATAACCTAAGAGTTTTTGATAGTTTTCAATCAATGATACTTACCATATTTTAAACAAAAATATTTCGCTTCGTTTGATGAATTTTTGTTGTAGATTCTTATTTTTCAAACCGTCAGAAAGTTATTACAAATAATTTTATGTCAACTGATTGTAGCTTTCGGCATACCTCAAGATGCGATATTTGGGCCAGTTCATTTTATTTTATACTCGAGTGGTATTTTAATTACGATTGAATATTGCAAAGTATCTATAGGCGTATTCTGTGACACCTAAATTCAACCCATTTTCAGAGAGTTTTCAAAATATTCAAAAGCATATCAATATTTATTTAAAGTTATTAAGTCTGTTGGTAAGTTTTCTAACAACTAAGCATTACAGTTAAAACTCAATTACATAAAGTAATTTGGCAGTAAACATATCAGTAGAAATATGACTTAATAAAATAGGCAACATCAATATCAATATAGTTTGAGTAAGTACGCGAAAAATTTGGGTATTATTTTTAATTCTGATTATTGACTTCTCTTTTTAGTGATTCACTTGAGGAATCTTATGATAGTTTCATGTTGATTTATGTCCTTTATAGTAAGAATTACAAATGTGAAAAAACATTTTTCTCAGGTTTCTACAATTCTGTATTCGGAATCGCACGTTCTAAGACCTCGTTAATCCTTATCTCGCACAGGTTTCAAATTTCAAAAGTTGTCGTTCATGTGGAGACCACAGCTGATCAAAACCCATTTTAACCACCATTTTTCCCTGGGTTCTTGGTTCAACTATGGGAATGTTGTTTATCGATATTTAAATTTACAATTATGGATTTACAAAATTTGAACAAAAGATACCAAATTCAACCGATTTAAATTTTCTCTGAGGAAAATCCGTCCTCCAACTTTGTACAGAACATTAATACCTAGGTCATCTCTCAACGCAGTAATGGTTCGAAATGAATTCACCTAATTTGTAATTCCTCAGATGTAAATCAGAAATCTAGCTGCTCAAGTTTACATTTCTCATGAGTTGACTTCATTTACTTGAATATTAGTTTGAATGCTATTTGAAGAGAATTTTTTTCATCATCTATATCTACATCTATTCTATACTAATGTTACAAATGTGAAAGTTTGTGAGGATGGATAAATGTGTGTATGTATGTTTGTGGCTCTTTCACGCCTAAACGACTGAACGGATTTCGATTAAACTTTACATAAATACAGCTTATACATTAGAATAATATATAGGTCGGAAAAAATCTTCTCTCTGAGAGCTATCTTGGCGTGCGCTGCCTATACCGTTGGAGTTACATGCAGAGAATGTACCGTAAGAATGTTTATCTTAAATAGTTCTAAATAAAATGATAGCATATATCAACCTTTTATGTAGTAGCCACTATATACAAAATACTGAGCCATAATTACAATTAAATTGTATACTTTTTTTACAAGCACGTTTTAGAATATCTGTTAAATTCTTATGAAAAATGATACAATTGTCGATTTAGGTATTCAATATAGAGAATTTTTGTCTCTCACACTAATTAATTTGGACGAATCGTTTAAAACTTATCACGATAAGATTAACTTGACGCAACGCACTAAGCCATTATTGCGCGTCGCGTCCACTATAAGACGACAGGAAATAATGCGCAGAGGTAGAGGGGCGGTCTAAGCAATGAAGTGCCACCGCCGAGAACGCCATCCGAACGCGGGCAGACGCGTGAGGGCAGACATCGTTGACGGTTGTGTTAGTTTTACGAATTTCTTTATAGGTAACATAATTAGATTCTCGAAGCTATTCATTACCTAGTGTAATTGGCATATTTTTTTAGTTACTAGCTGTTGTCCGTTTTTATATTAACGCACAGCCGAAGCTACTGAACCTGGAATCTTGAAATACGCAGGTAGGTTCTTTGTACAGCGTAAATGAGCATCAAGAAAAGAAATCAGGAATTTCCAACCTCAAAGGGAAAAATAGGGGTTCAAAGATTGTATTGAATTTCGTCAGTTTTGAACTTGGAAACCTGAAGTTCTGGGTTAATAAAAAATATTGTAACTATTTGTTTGTTTGTAATGGCCTGTCGTGAAACTTAATGTGACAAACCACATTTTACGCGGGCAACAACGAATCTAGGATAAATCACACATTGCATTTATTAGGAATGACACCAGGATTAACTTCTTGGCAAAAATGTAATTTATTCAATTTATTGAAATTATTAATGCGATACTACACAAAAAAATTATATTTAGACATTGGAAAATTCATTAGGGTTAAAGGGTAACTCCTGAGAGGGATATATAGTTACAACATTACATTCTATTTTCAATAATTGATCCCAAAATTGTGAATTGTTCTATCAAGTGAATATTTCGAAGTTAGCAAAATGAATATTTCTACATAATTTATGTCTTTTACTGTTCCTGAACAATAGGATCTGAAAAATGGATGCTGAAAACCAGGTATTTCTCTGTTTGACACTACGAATAATATTGAATTATAAAAGACAGATATTTGTATCCTCATAGAAAAAATTCTCGGAGATGCTCCTCTTTCGTCCAGTAGCATAACTTCGCTGTAATCAATCGAATGATCACCAACAGACCTTCAGTGTACGGACCTATCCAATTTCCATCGAAGCTCGACCGCATATACGAAACCGTATATGCGGTCGAGCTTCTTTCTTCTTTCAACTTTTCTACACAGTAGGATCTGGCAAATACCTGTCGGAAAATAATGACTTCCCTGGCGAAAACCACGACGGATATTGAATTGTAATGAGATGGAACCGTAACCACTTCACTTCGACATAGTCTCTTATTTTGATCTCTGTTAGGATTCTGAACATACAAAAAAATCTGCATTCAATAATAAAATGATTGATATCATTATGTTATATCCAATCATCGTTTACTTATCTCCGTTTTTCATATTTCTTTCATTTCTTATGACATTTGATCGTGTACTCGTATATTGATCACAACAATCACGTAATCTTTGTTCATTAGTATGCACAGCTTGGAAGCTTACAAGTACATGATTGTCTGAATGTAATGTCGAATAAATATTCCAAACATTGACTTCGGAACTTCGATTTCAATATAACGTTAAAGATTATTCTTTCATACTTTTATGAAAAGGAAAAGTAGGTAGATACAACAGATTTGTAATTGTAGTTAAAGATCTTGTACCATAACAGTTCTCAATTGTTCCATAGTTTAAACATAGACAAACAAACCCACTTTTTTCAAACTGAAACACATGACAGCTGTCAGTGTCAATTGTTTTTTGTTTCTTTCTTTGTTCTTCAATCACATTGGTTTTACCGGTAATCCATAATTTTAAAACAAATAACGATTTTTAAAAAGTAAATTCAAATAATCCTTCTTTTATCTGTGAAGATTTAACTCTTTTAATGAGTAACTTGTTTTATCGTATTGAAGAGTTTCAATTGTTTAAATATAACATTCTTTCCGACACGGCCATCCTCACTAACAGTAAATTGAGCTCTTTGTGTAATACTTTTACATTGTACCATCATCATACAAATTTTGTAGCTCTTCCTTGAAGATGAAAATATATTTGATCGAAATATTGGAATAACTTGTGTTATAAGCGTACACTTCCGTTCTGCTGATCACCCAAAGTTACTTTCCAAGAGATTCAATTTTTATCAAAACCAAATATTTTTTACAAATTCTCCCTGAACTATTATTAACAATAAAAACTCTTTAAAATAAAATGTGAGTTGATAAATTTAATAAACAAACAACTACTTTTCCTATGAACATTGACATTTTGATACCTGACGGAATGTCAATTGAAACAAATTTGTTTTCAACAATGAAAGAGTATTGAATATTACGTACAAGTATTGCTTTTACTCTCATACTTGTCCCAATTTTTATATATCAAAGGAGACGTAGTTCAAGTTGAAACTATTATGGAGATAGTTTTGAACTTTCTCTGTTTTGCAGAAACCTGGAAAAACAAAAGTGTTCATATCTGTACGTCTTATAGTAGGATAAATTATAAATTACATATACATTAAAAATGCTTGAGATATTGAGGATTTAAAAAAATAGTGAAAAATTGTTTCTTATAATGTCAACTCGCTAATCAACTATATTCTTTTTTACTACTTCTTTAAAAAATATCGAACTCTCTTTCATATCAGTGATGGATGGAATATGAAACGGAAGAAAACCCTGAACAAAACCATGGTTACAGTAAAAAGAGGAATGATGGTCGTCGAAAACGAATAAACTGATATCTATTTCTATCATATGTAAACATATTGTTTCTAAATTTTCATTATCTTCAGTATTGATTTTCAAACAAATATACTAGATGCTTATTATTTATTATCGAAGAATCATTAACATACTCTAGTAAATAGTTGATAAGTTCACTGATAAATTATGTACTTTGTCTGTTGGGACTGAATTTACATATCTGTCATATCTGTTGACTGATTGTATATACTGTTTACAGTTCGTTGAAGCTTCTTAACATGTTAACAAACTTGTCTTCATTCATATCAAATTTTGAAATCATTTCAAACTTCCTACCGAGTTGATATCATTTCTTAGAATCATTTTCGTGGAATGCATCAGTTTCGACATAAAACCG